GACCGTGACCATGGGATGCCAGGTGACCCTTGGGAGGGGTGCTTCGCCTTGACTGGCCAAGGTGAGGGTCAGGCCAGCCCCAGAATCCCGTGACCAGATCGAGAGGGGAGGGGAGATGAGAGGGGCTCCGGACAGCCAGCCTGCCGCCTCCTCTCCCCTCCCCTTCCCCCACCTCTCGCATTTGTTTCCTTTCAGAAGCGGGGCTGGGGCTCTCAGACCGGGCAACAAAAGCAACTTCCCTCCGAGCCACTGCCACCTGTTGGGTTTTCACACATTGGGGACAAGCAGGGGGAGAGAGCCGTTGTCCTTTTCCCAGTGTCTGCAGTGTGCCCCCTTTGCCCCCCCAGGGCCTGGGATTCTCTTTGCTGGGATGTGACAGGGCTCAGGAGCCGGAGGGGGTGGGGGCCACAGCAGCTGGAAGGGGAATTGAGTGGGAAGGGGCCGGTGCTGGCAGCCAGGAGAGAGTTTGATGGATTACTCTGCAGGCCGAGAGGTTTCTCCCTAATCCCCCTTTGTGTCCCAGCCTGCAGCCCCCTCACTCTCTCTGACAAGCTGCTGAGCAGAAGGCTTCCAGTCCGAGTGAAGAAAAGGCAGCGCAGCGGGTGACTCTAAATCCCTGGCCCCTGGGCTCTGGGGGGCAGAGCTAGGGAGCAAGTCTGCGGCGGGCGGGTCTTCCTCCCCACTGCTGGCCCTTGTCCTTCCCTGCCATTCCCTTGGGTGCAGAGGTTGCATTCTGAATGGTGTTCTCAGGCGTCTGTGGGAGCACTGCGAGGTCGTGGGCCTCAGCTATTTGTGCAAATCACCCCGTTGCCTTGTGTAGGGTCGGATTGGGGAAAGCAGACCCCCGCTTCTTTGGAAGTATTTGAGCCCAGAGAATCCAAGACTGCATATGGGTTGGAAGGCAACAGAGTGATGCGTGGTCTAAACCTGTGTCCCCCTCCCTAGCTGCCCAGGTAGGAATTCCCACAGCGCAGCACCCCTGACCAGGGAACCTGTCAGGATGGAGAATACACAAGCATGCTCGTTGTCAGGTCTCCTGGCTGGCCAGCGCAGCCTCTTTTTGGGGCATCCGTCCCCAGGCTCCTTGTGGAGCAGCCGAGGGCGGAGCTCATTTGGGAGTGCAGTGTGCTAGGTTACTACGTAAGGCCAAAGACATCGTTCCCCTGGGACTGAGGCAAGGGGGTAGGTGGCAGGGATGCTGGGCGGGTGAACCCCAGACCAATTCCCTGCCCCTAACCTAGGGGGCCTGGGAGACGTCAACTTGGAACGAGCTTCTGGGATCCAGTCCAGTGTGGAGGAACAGAGGTCCCCCTTCCACGCAGTCTTGCAGCCTCTACCTGTGGGTTGCTCCCCACTCGTAGTCCTGGCCTGGGGCGGGACAGCTCGGTGGGGTGTGTGTGAGGGAGATTGGCCTGGAGTGACCGCACTTCTGTCTGCAGCTGAGTCGTTACTCCTCGTGGCTAGCCTACCCCATCCCCAGTCTCCTTCTCCGCGGAGGGGCTGCCAGTGGCTGTGAAGGGGAGAGGAGGTTGCTTCCTGAGGAGTGTGTGAGAAAGCCGTGCCAGCTTTGTGAGTGTGGAGGGAGGGCGGCAGGGTTGCCGGGTCGCGGAGTCAGGGTGGGGGCTGCGGCCGTTTGATGTGCCTGCGCGGGGTGTGGGGACGCTGGCCTGCATAAAGAGGCCATAGAATTGCTGCTGACACTGCCTCCTCGCAGCCCCGGCTCCTCCTGGCCTCTGTCTGTCAGCGGAGGGGATCCGCTCCCCCAGCTGCACCTCGGCGGGGCAAGGGTGGCAGGAGCCCCTCCGAAAGCCCTCAAAGGCCTCTTTGTACGCCCCTCTGACCCTCCCTTCCATAGGGAGCTAGCAGGCATGGGCTCGTCACCTTTCCTCCACTCTGTCTTTTAAATTTTGAGGAAAGTTCAGGCCAAGTTTGTTCCTGTTGCTCTGTTTCATTTCCCCATACTCCCTGCTCAAGGCCTAACCTGCAGTGGGGCAAAGGGACAGTCACTGGGCATTCCAGCCCGGGAGGGTCTGTCCTGTCTGCCACTCACCACCTTTGAACCCTTAGGAGTTGTCCCCTCTGGGGGTCTGGCTGGAGTTTCCTTGGGGTGTGTGTGGGGATGGGGGGGAGGCACTTAGGTCTTCCCCATCTCTTATGCTCCCACCCCCACTGTGTTCAGCCGTTTATTCTTTAGGTAAACATGTCCCAGGTCCCTTCTCATGCCAGGGTGGGTGCCAGAGGGTCACATTGGAGCCCACAGCCTGCTCTGGGGTGCCGCGTGTTGGAGTGCATGGGGCGTGGAGGTCCCCGGTCTCTGGAGCTGGGCAGATAGAATGCAGGTTCACCAAACGTGCCCAGGGCCCTTGGCCTCTCTGGGCTGGGTTCTGCATCCCCAGAGATGAGGAAAGATGGCTGGGGGAGAGCTCCATGAAGGTTCCCAGAGGTCTTGGGTTTCCTTGCTGTCCCGTCATCAGGGGGCCCAGAGAGGAGGGGAGATATTTGGAGCTTGAGAGGGACTTGTCTTCCTAGAAGGCTTCTATTCCTTTCCACGAGGTCAGGCCAGACTCCCCTTTTCTGTACCTCCACTACCGAGTCTGCCCACCCCCTCCCCACCAGGTGAGCACTGGGAGGCTGGCCCTTCTGGTTGATCTTCTGTTTGCCAGACAGGCAGAGTGCTCCAGGAGCAGTGGGGCAGGAGGATTTCAGTCAGACGCATCTCTGAAACTGGAGGGTGTAGGGGAGAATTGGATCCTGTCTCCCTGAGGAGCACAGGGGAGGTCCTGAAACAGGGTGACCCAACAAGAGTCTGTCACTTTCCAGGTTTGGTGAGAAGTGTGCCCGGGAGCTGCAGGTAGGAGTGGTAGCTGGGAAAGTGGTGCCCACCCACTTCTTGTTCTTCACCTCTCTGAGCCTGGGAACTAGGCAGGGCTACTTTGTGCCCTCTGTTTGTGCCCCAGGGAAGGAGGCCCTGCAGAGACAGCTGGGGGCTGGAGTTAGTGCTGTGGGAGTCTTCCGTAGTTTCTTCCACCCTGAGGGCCCTGGGGTAGTGGAGACTGGGGGTCTGGGGAAAACGTAAGGAGAAGAAAGGGGGGCTTTGGAAGGGAGAATATTCTCATGGGCTTGAAATTCCTCATGGGCTTGCAATTCTGGGTCGGGAAGAGTAAAGTCTGGGGGTGGCAAGAGTGTCCTGGACACTAGGGCAGAGTAGAAGTCAAAAGAGGGAGGATGGGCTCAGCAACCTAAGAACAGAGGGGTGTAGAGGAGGGCTAGCAGCCGGCCCACTTCTTTCCCTCCCAACACCTCTCAATGAATTCTCCCCTGGCCCAGCCCCCGGCTACCAGGTAAAGAACCTCTGGGGATGGAGAGAGGCGCTGGGGAGGGGGAGGCAGCTAACAAGCTGGCTGGGCTGTAGGGGGATAAGGGGACATTCCTCCCTTCACCCCTTTTTGTCTTTCTCCCTTGTGGGCCGAGGAGGTTCCTGCTCTGTCTCGGGAGTGAGGAGCCGGATTAAGGGAGGGAGGAAGGCAGGCGCGGTGATTAATGGTTGCTGGAGAGCTGCAGTTTATTTTAAACAGCAGGGAGCAAGCAAGGCTTGGGAATGGGAGCAGGTTGTGGGTGAGGCTTGGTCTGACAGAGTCTCTGTTTGCTCAGGGAGGACCTGGTCCCTTAAAAACCCAGAGCAGGTGAATGTCCTGGTCCCTCCCAGACTGAGGGTGGGGAGTGGAATGGGCTGGAAGCCTTTTAACCCAGAATCCCTCCCTCCAAGCTGGATAGCACCAGCCCTTGGTCCCTGTGTAGTCTCCTGCTTTCCTGCTGGAGTGGGGAGGACTCAGCTCCAGCTGAACCCACAGAGGCCCAGCTAAGGCTAATGTCTGGTCCCCCACCTCCCTTTTGGGGCTGCATGAGTCCATGTTTTACACTCCTCCCCATGCCACCCCCATAGGAGTTCGTGCCCCTTCTCAAAGTGGATGGTCTGGGTCTGAGCGGAACTTTGGGGAGGAGGAGGCTGCTGGTTGCCCAGCCTTATCTGAAGTCCCTTCCTTCCTGGTCTACCAACTGCAAAGCCCCAGAAGGCAGGTGTGGGACGGACAGATCTTCCCCAGGGCTGATGGCCGTCTGATGTCCCTGTGGCACAGTTCAGAGAGCACCTACGACACACTCTGGAACACACATGGCCCTGTGGGGCTTTAGTGTTATTGGAAAAGATCGAAGATGCTGAAGCGCTAAATTATGAGCTGCTGAGGTTGGAAGAGGGAATGAGTGAGGCTGAGGGTACTCAGGGACTCTCTTGGGTCGGGGAGGAGACTGAGCCAGGCCTTCTGTGCACCTTGCACAGGAGCAGTACTCTTCAACAACATTCACCGGATTGAACCCGTGAGGCAAGGGAAGCCACTGCAGACGCCAGCCACAAGTGGTGGGTGGCTTGGTCGTCCCCCAGCCCCACTTTGGGATGGGTGACGGGTTAGGGGACTCTTGCCTTTTCTCACCAAGGCCCACCCTCTATATCTCCTCTTCAGGGAAAGAAGACCTGGAGGCCAACACTAGGGGGTGGGGGCACAGGTGGGTGCTCCCCCAGTGGGATCTCTCTGCACAGAAGGCAGGCCTGGCAGGAAGGGCTGTGAGGACTTCTCTGCTGAGAATGGAGTGCTTTGCGGAACAGAGAAAGGCTGCCTGGGAAGTGTGGGGCATCCTGCCAGCCCGGGGGTCACTGGCCTCACTGCAGTTGCTGCCAGGTGGTGCGGTTTCACGCCCTGTGGGACCTGGGATGGCCCCACTGTCCCATGACGGTTGGGCAGCGCATGTGGGAATGTTTCTTCCCCATGAACGGTTGAACTCAGAGAGAAACTCGAGGGAGAGGTTTTCAGGCCTGGGTTCGTCCAGGGGAGTGCTCTTTAAGTGGTTTCAGTGACAGGTGAAAATCCAGCCCAACAAACCACAGCCTCTCCTCCCTTCTCCCTGTCCTCCTCTGTCATCAGTGGGGTGGGAGTTATGGTGCAACATGGCCCGTGGCCAGGCCGTGCAGAATGGGAAGTGCTGCTCTTAACAAAGGGGAATTGAACAGCCCAGCTTTGGGAAGTGGAGAGAGAAAAGCAAACAAACCAGGCCTGGCAGAGGGTCTCCGGGGCACCTTGATAACGGCCTGGGGAACTGGGAATTCCGTTGGTTTGATTTTTTTTCCCCCAATACTAGCAGGCAAGGACAATTGCAGAGATATTCCAAAACAGAGAATAACCGACATCTGTTTGGCTCTGGAGTATGCTAAGTTTTAAAAATCATATTTACTTTATTAATTGTGTCAGCCTTGGGCTAATATTAACATGCATTTCCTGACTGGGCAGTTGGGGGTGGCACCCAGCTGGCAGGGCCACATCGTCAGCCTGGGAGTGAACAGGATTCAGAGAATTGAGAGCAAATCCTGGAGACCTGGTTCCCGGGACTTAACACTCTGTGTGTTTGATTGTCCCTCCCTTTTAGTATCTGAGTGATGACGTGTGTCCCCACGAAGCACCCCACAGCAACGGGCATTTAGCATGGGCTGAGAAGCTGGACCTGCACGGAGGGCTGGTAGAAATGGGTTCCTGGCAGAGTCCCAGGCAGTTGGTGTCAGCAAGGAGGAGAGGCCTGGGCATCTGGAGCAGGGCTGAGACGACCCAGTTCTGGAATGTGTGAACGGGCCGGAGCCCTCCCCGCCTGGCCCACCATGGTCCAGAGGCTGTGGGTGAGCCGTCTGCTGCGCCATCGGAAAGCCCAGCTCCTGCTGGTCAACTTGCTGACCTTCGGCCTGGAGGTGTGCCTGGCTGCGGGCATCACCTGTGTGCCACCCCTGCTGCTGGAGGTGGGGGTGGAGGAGAAGTTCATGACCATGGTTCTAGGTGAGTCACCACAGCCTCCTTCCCTCCTGCTCCTGGTATCCACTGCCTGGGAAGCAGGGCAGCAGTGCCTCTGCCCAAGGCCTGCTGGGTGGGAGAGGGGCTGCCTGCCGTTCCAAGCCCAGTGGGTCAGCAGTGCTGGGGAGAGGGCTGACCCTGGGCCAAGGGGGCCCAAGAGGAAGAAGAGAGAACAGAGACATTCCCTGGTCACCTCCATGCCCTTGGCCTCCACACAGTGCCTGGCCCAGAGGGAACGCTGGAAGACTTGCTCTTCACTTTTGTCTGGCTCTTTATATCTATTATCTCATTTAACCCTTGCAACAGCCCTTTGAGGTTATCCATTCGCAGAGAAGATAAAGGAGGCTTATATGAAGTTAGGTGACTTAGCCAGGCCGCACAGCCAACTACTAATAAGTAGGCCTGGGGTCTCCTAGCCAGGGCTTTCTCATCTCTGGGGTAGGGGCTGGGCTCCTGACTGCAGATGAATTCTGCAGAAGCCACAGAAGGCAGGTGGTCACCATTGTGTGACTTCTAGGAAGAGGGGCCTCTGTCAGGATTATAGGCTCTGGTCAGACTGCCTGTTGAAACCCCACCCCTCACCCTCCCTAGCTCTGTGCCTGTGCACAAGTATCACTTATCAGTTGCTCCATGCCTCAGTTTCCACATCTTAAAATGGGGCGTTTATGATCCTAGTCATGTGGAGTAAATTAAAGTGGCTGTGCAGCACTCAGCATGGCGTCTAGTTCAGATCTGGCCCTCTGTGTGATACATCACGATCCTGTTCGCCCTTCTCAAGGAGTTGGCCCCCTTCCCCCTGCCCCTTCAGGACCCTGACCTCTGGCTCATACCACTGTCCTTCTTGCAGGCATCGGTCCAGTGCTGGGCCTGGTCTCTGTCCCACTCCTAGGCTCCGCCAGTGACCACTGGCGTGGGCGCTATGGTCGTCGGAGGCCCTTCATCTGGGCCCTGTCCCTGGGCGTCCTGCTGAGCCTCTTCCTCATCCCGAGGGCTGGCCGGCTGGCAGGCCTGCTGTGCCCGGATACCAGGCCCCTGGAGTTGGCCCTGCTGATCCTGGGCGTGGGGCTGCTGGACTTCTGTGGCCAGGTGTGCTTCACTCCACTGGAGGCCCTGCTCTCTGACCTCTTCCGGGACCCAGACCACTGTCGCCAGGCCTTCTCTGTCTACGCCTTCATGATCAGCCTCGGGGGCTGCCTGGGCTATCTGCTGCCGGCCATTGACTGGGACGCCAGCGCCCTGGCCCCCTACCTGGGCACCCAGGAGGAGTGCCTCTTCGGCCTGCTCACTGTCATCTTCCTCACCTGTGTGGCAGGCACCCTGTTTGTGGCCGAGGAGGCAGTGCTGGGCCCTGCCGAGCCGGCAGAAGGGCTGTCGGCCCCCTCGATGCCGCCCCACTGCTGCCCGTGCCGTGCCCGCCTGGCTTTCCGGAACCTGGGCGCCCTGTTTCCCCAGCTGCACCAGCTCTGCTGCCGCGTGCCTCGCACTCTGCGCCGACTCTTTGTGGCCGAGCTGTGCAGCTGGATGGCGTTCATGACCTTCACGCTGTTTTACACGGACTTCGTGGGCGAGAGGCTGTACCAGGGTGTGCCCAGGGCTGAGCTGGGCACCGAGGCCCGGAGACACTACGATGAAGGTGAGGCCTCGCCAGCCGGGGATGGGGGCTGCTGTGGGAGCTGCCCTCCAGGGGACGTTTGGGCGTAGGGAGGTGCCCACAGCCTGTGCCTGGGCGGGTAGCTGTGCATCGTGCCCCGATTTCCCCATCAGGAAAATGGGCCCAGTCTGCATATGCAGCTCCTCAAGCGTGCAGAGCAGCTTTGCCTGTAGTCTCAACAGAGCCTCAGGCTGCTCTGCGAGTTTGATCAGCCATCGCCCCAATTTGACAGAAGAAACGGCTGAGCTGATGTAAGGCCCAAAGGCAGCGGAAGAGTCGAGGCTGGTCTCAGGTCTGCCTGGCCCCGACTTCAGTGTGCCCTCTGCCCCCAGTGCTGACCTTCCACATCACCTCACCAGCACCTTCCAGCTTAGGCGTCTGGACCTGTCCCGGAGCCTGTGGCAGAACGTCTTTGTCTTTGTGTTCCCTCTCACCCACCTCGCTAGCTGAGCGTAGCTGAGGCTGCCAGGCAACCCTTAGAACATCTTCCTCTGCCCTTAGCCCGTGGCTTTGGCCACATTCCCTGAGGTCAGCGGAAGAGCCTGGGCTTCCGTGGCTACAGGTAGAGTGGGGAGCGTGCCGGGGAGCAGGTCTGGTTTAGAGCAGATCTTGGGCAGCAGGTGCCTGCGGCTCCTAATTCTGAGCAGCCCCCCAGATTATATTGGGCCCCTTCCCTGTCTGACTGCCTGACCCCTCCCCGCCCCCCAGGGGTCCGGATGGGCAGCCTGGGGCTGTTCCTGCAGTGTGCCATCTCCCTGCTCTTCTCTCTGGTCATGGACCGGCTGGTGCAGCGATTCAGCACCCGGGCAGTTTATCTGGCCAGCGTGGTGGCTTTCCCTGTGGCTGCCGGTGCCACATGCCTGTCCCACAACGTGGCCATGGTGACCGCCTCGGCCGCCCTCACTGGCTTCACCTTCTCCACCCTGCAGATCCTGCCCTACACGCTAGCCTCCCTCTACCACCGCGAGAAGCAGGTACTCACAAGCAGGTACTCACGCTGGCTGCTGGGTGGAGCGGGGTGGAGGGGTGTCTGGCCCGAGAAGTTGAAGGCTTTCTTTGATTGGAGAGGAAGCTCGCCGTAGCCGCGGGCCAAGACGTGGGCCGCGGAAGCCAGGAAGCAGGGTGTAGATTAGGTTCTGGGAATGACTTCCTGGTGTCAGGACCATAAAGCACTTGAGTGGATGATGGCAGGAAGCCGAAATCCTTCTCTGGGAATCCTGACAACTGGGACTAGCAGAAGCCCTGTCTGGGCTGGGTTGTTCTCTGCAGAGGCAGGGGGCTGGATCAGATGACCTCTGGGGCACCTAGCTTCAGCAGATGGTGAGTGGGAATGGTCTGGTGTTGGCAACACCTCTACTTGTTCGGGGAGAGGCATTGTGACTGACTTGTGCCCTGCTTTGGTCTCCCAGGTGGGGAAGGCTCGTTACCGCCCCCTCTCCTTCTGGTTTATCTTCCTTTTCTGTCTAATTCTTTCTTTTCTTTTCCTGCCTCACATCTTTGCCTCCGTCCCCTTCCCCCGCCCCCATGGTGGATCTGAGCCTGACGCGCCTGACACCACTCGCCTGGGCACTGTGTAAGTTGGGGGGGCCTCCTTCCTGCTCAGCCTCACACTAACCAGCCCCTCCAGGGGCCCCCTTCTGTGGGAAGCCTCCTGACCCAGGCTGTGTGGTCACCTTCGTCCCCTCCACTGGCCTCGCTGAGCTACAGCCCTGGGTGCAGAGCTCTGCCTGGAGGGGCAAGATGTTGGGGTATCCCGAGGAAGGAGGAGATGCAGGCCTGACCTCGTAGTGCTTCCAGACTCAAGGAAGACGTGTCTCTGCCCCTTGTAGGACATGGGTAGGGTAGCAGAGAAACACCTAGCTGGGAGGTTGGCTAACTGAACAGGTAGCTGCAGAGGGGCGCAGGGGTGGAGGGAGAGGCTGGGGTTTTGGCTGGGGGAACCTGGGCCCTGAGACCCCTGTTGGCGCACATCATCAGCCTCCACTCTGCTGCCCTGGCTGGGGGCTGGAGGCTGCTGTCTGGAGGCTTGGGCACATGCAGTCGTGCCAGGGAACATCTTGGGGCTGCTCCCACCTCAGACTGAGGAACATGTCTGTCCCCGGGGGCCTCTCCAGGCTCCAGCCTGGTCTTTCCTGGAGTGGAAGGCAGGGAAGAGAGGTCCTGGGAGGCCTGTTCCACGCAGCAGCTGATGGCACACTAGGCCCTGCACGCCTCCTCGCCTGCCTTTGCCCGCTTCCAGCTGCACGATGAGCCCTGGGTTTCCCTGGTGTTGGGTTTGAACTCTGCTGGGGCTCCCAGCTCGAATGCAGCCAACTCGAGAACTCTTCTGTGTTAGGCACTAGTGGGCAAAGGGACAGTGTTGGAAGAGTTCTGGCCATGTGCTTAAATAGGAGGCTCCAGGCTGTTGGGGGCAGGGCAGGGGCCGGTCACCCTGATCTAAGGCAGACAGTGAGAAGGAAGCGAGAAGGCTCCACATTAGCACAGCTGGGCCAGGGGAGTCCTCCTGTACTCTCCAGGCCGAGTCTCCTGGACCCTCGCTGCCCCCAGGCTGGGGCCATGGACCCCCGTGCGAGCAGAGCTTCTCTCCAGAGGGCCGTGGGCATTTGCCAGTGGTGACATGGTGGGGAGCAGGAAGGAAGAGGGTTAGGAGAGCCTGTGGGGGGTTGGGCCATCAGGGGCCCCATCTGTGGATTTTGTTCCTCTGTTCTCACAAGCCTGTCTTCTCGCCTATCTTCCTTCTGCTTGTGTCTTTTCCTTTACCTTGGGGTTCTGTTCTCTTTCTAATCTGCAGTGCTGAGTTTGTCTGCCGCCTCCCTGTTCTAGGAGAGGCTAGAGGAGACGTAGACTTCTGGTTTCAGATTTGTCCCCTCTCCGCCCCCCTGCCCTTCTCCCACTCCTGATACAGGTCCTGACCAGGGCCAGACCAAGCAGTGTTTGCTCACTTTTCTGACCCACTGCCCGATTTTCATTAAGGCCCATTGCCTGGTTTCTTCCAGCCCCTGGGATGAAGGCCGGGGTCTGTTCTCATAGCTGGGGTGTCCCATGCTTGAGTACACACACCTGTCCTTGTCCCCTTTTTCTCCCCCACCCAGGTGTTCTTGCCCAAATACCGAGGAGATGCTGGAGGTGGCACCAGTGAGGACAGCCTGATGACCAGCTTCCCGCCGGGACCCAAGGCCGGATCTGCCTTCCCCAATGGACACGTGGGTGCTGGAGGCAGCGGCCCGCTCCCATCTCCACCCGTGCTCTGCGGGGCCTCTGCCTGCGATGTCTCCATGCGGATGGTGGTGGGTGAGCCACCTGAGGCCAGGGTCGTTCCAGGCCGGGGCATCTGCCTGGACCTTGCCATCCTGGATAGTGCCTTCCTGCTGTCCCAGGTGGCCCCGTCCCTGTTTATGGGCTCCATCGTTCAGCTCAGCCAGTCTGTCACTGCCTATATGGTGTCGGCTGCAGGCCTGGGTCTGGTCGCCATTTACTTTGCTACACAGGTAGTATTTGACAAGAGCGACTTGGTCAAATACTCGGTGTAGAGTGCTTCTGATCCACTGAGGGAGGGCCCCCTTCCCGTCTCCAGTCAGCCCCATAGGCTGAGGGCTGGCCTTCCAGTTTCTGTTGCTGCCAAAGTGGTATGGCTCTCTGCTGCCACCCCGTGGCCATCAGGTGCATAGCTGCACGGATAGGGGACTGGGACCCCCCCCTCCAGTCTTAGGGCTGACTGATGGTGGCTCTCCCGGTGGGCTTCAGTCTGGACTTCTACAGGGAGGCCAGAAGGGCAGGGCATTTGATTAGCTCTGTGCACTGGAACGCAGGACTCTGCAGGGGAATCATCCAGGCTCAGGGTTAACAGCTGGTGTCCTGGTCTAGACACCCAGAGAAGGGATTTGGGGAGTGGAATAAACTGGGCTCCCACCTCCAAGCTCCCTTATCCTGTAGTCCCATAGGTTCCCCCAGTGTTGCTCTTTTTTTTTTTTTGTGAGGAGATCAGCCCTGTGCTAACATCCGCCAATCCTCCTCTTTTTTTTTTTTGCTGAGGAAGACGGCCCTGGGCTAACATCTGTGCCCATCTTCCTCCACTTTATATGGGACGCCGCCACAGCATGGGTTGCCAAGCAGTGCGTCGGTGCGCGCCCGGGATCCGAACCAGCGATCCCCGGGCCGCCGCAGCGGAGCACGCGCACTTAACCGCTTGCGCCACCGGGCCGGCCCTCAGTGTTGCTCTTGTGTGGGGCTTTCTAGTGTGAAACTATCCTCCACGGGATTTGAAAGTATGCAAGTTATTTGGGGGGCAGAGTCCTGAGGGGAGAAAGGAAGCTCCCTGGCCCCACAGCACTGCCTTTCTGCTGATTCCCCCACCCCTACGTTTTATCAGGACATGGCTTGTTGGTCCCTGTGTTGCCACCATAGGGACACAGGCCTTTAAATATTTAACTTATTTATTTAAGTAAAGGGGAATTAATTCCCAGCTCTGCCATGTTGGTATCTAGGAGGTGAGATCCCCAACAACTGGGTCCTTTAAGATGGCTGGTTATTGTGTGAGCATTGCCAGAATCGCCTCCTCCTGGAGTGATTTTTCTGGCCCCCAAACTACCTAACCCAGGAACTTGGAATCTCTGCTCCCCCCAACTGATATCCCAAATCCTGTTACCCAAGGCTGGGGGCCTGGAGGAGGGTGGAGAGTGGGGCTCCGGGTCTCGGGTCTCGGCAGCCTCCCAGCCTCGCCTCCTCTCTTGGCCCAGTCTTGCCCCCGACTTCTCTCTGCTCCCTCCAGGACTGGACTCATAAGGGAGCTGCGCACCGCCCCCCTTTCTCACTGGCTCCAGCTGCCTCTCCTTGGGGCTGTTGCAGGACCAGAAGCACAGAGTTTGGCTGCTGGAGCCTTTATCCGTCTCAGCCCCGAGGGCATATCTGTGCTTGGGGAATTGCGCACAGAATCTCAGGAGCACCCCCTGCCTGGGCCAAGGAAGTCTTATCTCTGGGGGGTTTAAGTGCCGTTTGCAATAATGTTATGTCTTATTTATTTAGTGGAGTAAATATTTTATACTGTATGTGAGCAGTCAGAGTATAATGTTTATGGTGATGAAATTAAATGCTTCTTATATGTTTAATTGGCCTGTGTTTATCTTTTCTGAGGGTGAAGGACCCAGAGCTCTCGCAGATTATCCACAGCTTTTTCTCGTTGGAATCCTGTTTTGGCAGCTTCAGTTCCCAGCACCACCAGCAGATGGAGCCAGAGACCAGCACTCTGCTGTCCTTTGGTGCTTGGGCATGGCGTGCTACCCCTCTGGATTGGGGAGTTCTTTTGGGAATATGGGGGAGAAGGAGGGGACGGGAAGAGTGAGGAGGGCAAGGGAGTAGGGCATTTTCTTTCTCAAAGGGCTCACAGTGTGGCCAAGGAGATGGAGCAAGCACCTATCATCAACTACAGCGATAGGAACGCCCCTGCAGGGCGAGGATTTCGGCACCACTTGTGCCTCGTTCCAGCCATTTCCCATCTGCACCCTCCTGCCGGGCTCAGGTCAAGTGCAGAGTCTCCCCTGCCTTGTCACCTCCCTCACCCCTCCAAACTTGACTGGCCTTCCTGCCCCTTAAATTTGAGTGGTCAGTATAGTTAATACCCTGTGCAAGGACTAGCTTTATTTTTTAAAGGCTCTAGATTTTATTTAACTTTTTATTATGGACATTTTCAAACACACACGAGTATTGAGCCTGGTAAAATGAGCCCACTTCAACAATTATTAACATTCTGCCATTTTTATTTCTTCTTTTCTCCCTACCCTGCCCCCTTTTTTTTCTGGGGTGTTTTTAAGGCACCCGGCATACAATTTTGTTTCACCTGTAAATACTTCAGAGTTTATCTTTAAGAAATCAGACTGTTCAACAAGTTGATCACAATATGATGAACATATCCAACAAATAGTAATTTTTTATTATCCTCAATTACCCAGTCCGGGTACAGTTTTCCCCAATTGCCTCGAAAATGCCTTTTTACAGTTGGTTTGTTCAAATCAAGATCCAACTGAGATAAACAACTAAGATAGATTGCATTCAGTGGTTCTGTCTATCTTAGGTTCCTTTTAGTCTCCAACAGTCTCCTTTTTTTTTTTTAATGCCATTCATTTGTGAAGAAGGAGTCATTTTTCCTCCAGAATGGCCCATATTCTGTATTTGGCTGACTGTACACTCAGGGTTATTTAAAATGTTCGTCTTTCCCCCTTTTTTCCCCCATAAGCTGGTAATCAAGAGGCTTGATTAGACTCAGATTTGACTGTCCCATGAGAGGGACACAGGCCTTTAAATATGTAACTTATTTAACAATACCTCCGTTTACTCCTCCTATATAATTTTGAAGCAAATTTCAGACATTGTATTTCATTCTGAAATATGTCAGAAAGTATTTCTAAAAGATAAGAACTTTTATTAAAAAGTCACATAACCACATTACTATTATCAGACCAAAAAATAATTCCTTAGTATAATCAAATATCCAGTCAGTGTCACATTTCCTTGTCTTGTAAGTTTTTTTTGTATAGTTTTGATTCAAATTGGAATCAAAATAAGTTCTGTATGTTACAATTGGTTGATGTGTCTCTTAACTCTTGTAATCCATAGGTACCTCCTGAATTTTTATTTTTTTCCTTGTAATTTATTTGTTAAAGAAACTGGATTGTTTGTTCCATAGATCATCTGGATTTTGCTGACTGCGTTCCCATGGTAATAGTTCACATGTTTTTATTGCCCCTGTATTTTTTGTAAATTGATAATTAAAGTCAGAGACCAGATCAGATTTGGTTTTTTGCAATAATACTTAGTAGATTTGTGTACCTCCATAGAAGGGAATGTGTATTGTCTAGTTGTCTTTCTTTTTTGATGTTAGTGGTCCTCGATGTCTTAGCTCTGTTATTTCATAGGCATTGGAAAATGACAATATTCTTTTATTTCTCAACAAGTGCTTGACTCCTTCCTTGTATTTACCAGTTTTCAAAATAATGAACTAATTCCTTAGTCTCCTCTAATGATGACAGAGAGGTTTTTTTCTTAGTGACTTTATGTATTGATGGATTTAAATATATTTGATGTGTTTTAGTCCTTTGCAGTTATTATTCATGTTCACATTGTTCCCATCTTTGGCCAGGGGGAGCCTCTGCAAGCTGGTTTCTGAGTCCTTATAACAAGATCCTACTTGGTTTTTGAAAGCTTCCTTGCTTTCTGGCATGACTAGATGTTCAGGCTTATCTTATATATTTCCTGCCACCGACCTGGAATGAGCTCTTTCCTCTGAGGGTCTCTGAGTGCTTTTTGTGGGAAAAGGTACTTAGAGACCATAATATCAGCATTGAGAGTGCTTGTTACTGGATTGGTCATTGGTTTTAGACCTTTTCAGTGGCCAAAATTAGGAAAAAAAATTTGTAATGTAAATATGTTGTGAGTTTATATTGATACTTCCAATTCAAGTTCAGGACAATAGATTATATATATATGTATGTATTTATATATATACCCACATATATATTTTACTTCTCTGATTTCTCCCACACTGAAACAGAGTTGAAGGCCTGGCCCAAGGCTTGTGTGTGTACGTGTGAGTGTGTGTGTGATGTGAGAAGAGGCAGAAAGAACCACCAGTCAGCCAACCATGTCAGCCTGTCTGTGCCTCCAGAACCCAGAACCTTCCCACCAGGCGGCCCCACTTTCTGCCCTGGACAGTGGCCCTCCTCCTCCCCGTGTCAGCTGTTTCAGGGTCACAGAGGGAGACTGCGAATCCTTAGGGAACAGGAGCTCTGGCATGGGGGGGCTTTTCTAGCACAAGTTTTCAATATTTGGGACCAGCTAAACCAATCACAGGCAACTGGGCCTTGTGTTGGTAGCTCCTCAGGTTTGAAACTACTTTCCTCACAGAAACACAACTTGCCAAAAAGCACGGAAGAGGAGGAGAGAAGTGGGGAGAAGGGAGACTCTGGAAAGGAGGAGGAAACCGCAAGTAGCCTCAAAGATGTAGTGAAGGTTTCCTGAGTCCTCTCCCTTGGCAGCTCAGACAAGACAGTCTGGCCCGTGCCTTTACGGACCGTCTAATTTCGGTGGAAAGAGCAAGTATGGATGCATCAAATGTGCATAGTTGTGTCAGGCAGCATGCAAGTGGAAAATGCAAAACATGAATCAAAGATACTAACAGAGTTTAGAGGAGGGAAAAAATATGACCCTTGTGGTGAAGAGAGGAAGGGTCAGGCTATTCCATAGCCCTCTCTGCCGCCGTCTTGCCAGATCCTGCCCATCTCCCAAGGGAGATGGAGCACTGGGTCCTGGCTTGTGGCTTGAGCCCAGGGATTGGAGAAAGGGGGCTGGGGTGAGGTCAGGTTGGCAGTCCTCCATCCTTGTACATTTCTGGCCTGGGGTGCCCCTCCCTGCAGAGCCGGTGACAGTGAGAGGGAGAGCAGGGGTGGGGAACCTCGGTGGGCAGGCAGCTTGGATCTCACATTACTTCTTGTGCCACTGGGGAAGGAGCCCTTGGTTTCCAGGGTCAGATTTGATTATAGCAGCCTGGCAGTTTTGTCACCGTTGGCTGGAGGGCTGTTCAGAGCTGAGACTTTCTGACACCCAACACTGTCACTGGATCTCCACACACGTTAGAAGGCAGCTTGGTTCCTTGGTGGCAGGGTCACTTGGCCCCAGTCTGCCCCTTACTAGCATTTGACCTTCGAGAAGTCATTCTACTGTGTGTACAGTGGGGGGTTACTAGATCATCGACACAGACACAGCTCTAGAATTCCGTGATGCCCCGATTCTGTGCACTGCACCCCCCTCCCCCCAGTAAATTGTTCAGCACTTTACAGTCCCCCATTAATGCTCTCTCCTTCCCTCCTTTTCATCAAATAGTGTTTGTCTACTTTCCCCAAATGCTGGCCCCTATGTTACCTCTGGGCTGTGGCAATAAAAA